AAAAAAAAAAAAAAAAAAAAAAAAAAAAAAAAAAAAAAAAAAAAAAAAAAAAAAAAAAAAAAACACACACACACACACACACAAGTACTTCCCTTCATTCCTCTTCATTAATCATCATGTGTGTTTCAATTTCAAATCCTTCCTCTGCCCCTGCAACCAGTTGCCCGCCGCCACCGCCGCCGACATCACCATCGGAATTACTTCAGTTTTTTGATGTTTTCCCCAAAAAACAGCCGCCGCAGCCGAAGCAGCAGTTGTTCTCATGTTCGGAGATTGTAACGGAAGCAAAATCTTTGTTCTCATTGGCTTTCCCGATTGCTTTAACGGCACTCATAATCTATTCTCGTTCAATCATTTCCATGCTTTTTCTCGGCCGGCTTGGTGACGTGGAACTCGCCGCCGGTTCACTTGCCATCGCCTTCGCTAATATTACTGGTTACTCTGTTCTCTCTGGTTTGGCTTTAGGGATGGAGCCACTCTGTTCCCAAGCCTTCGGCGCCCACCGTCCGAAGCTCCTCTCTTTAACCCTTCACCGTTCGGTAATTTTTCTTCTTGTGTGTTCAATACCCATTTCTTTACTGTGGGTAAAAATGGCCAAAATCCTCCTCTTCCTCCGTCAAGATCCGACCATCACAGAAATGGCGCAGACCTATTTGGTTTTCTCTCTCCCGGATCTTATCACCAATTCTTTCATTAACCCAATCAGAATTTACCTTCGCGCTCAGGGCATCACCGTCCCGCTCACTTTAGCGTCGCTCGGGGGGGCTCTATGTCACGTGCCGATCAATTTCCTGTTGGTTAGTTATTATAAGTTTGGGGTAGCCGGCGTGGCAGCCTCGGCGGCGGCTACGAATTTTTTAGTGTTGGTTTTTTTGGTGCTGTACGTCGTCGTTTCAGGTGTTCACGCTCCGACGTGGACGACACCGAGCCGGGAATGTTTGACTGGTTGGAAGCCGCTTTTGGAGCTAGCTGCGCCGAGCTGTATATCGGTTTGCTTGGAGTGGTGGTGGTACGAGATTATGATCGTGTTGTGTGGGCTTCTTGTGGACCCCAAAGCAACCGTTGCCTCAATGGGAGTATTGATACAAACGACGTCGTTGATTTATATTTTTCCGTCGTCTCTTGGATTTGCTGTTTCTACACGCGTCGGGAACGAGCTAGGCGGGAGCCGGCCACAGAAGGCAAAGCTCTCTGCCGTGGTTGCGGTGTTTATGGCGGCGATGATGGGGTTGGGAGCTACGTCGTTTGCTACGGGGATGAGGAATAAGTGGGCTAGAATGTTCACCGACGACCGCGAGATTCTCCGGCTGACATCTGTGGCACTGCCGATTTTGGGACTGTGTGAGCTCGGAAACTGCCCACAGACAGTCGGATGCGGCGTATTGAGAGGATGCGCGCGGCCGTCTGCAGCGGCGAATATAAACCTCGGCGCGTTTTACGGCGTCGGAATGCCGGTAGCGGTTGGGCTTGCGTTCAGATTAGGGGTTGGGTTTTGCGGGCTTTGGTTGGGCCTCTTGTCGGCCCAAGTCTGTTGTGCTGGGCTCATGTTGTATGTGATCGGAACCACTGACTGGGACTTTCAAGCTTGTAGGTCCCACGTGCTGACGTGTACCGCGGGTGATGAATTACCCTTGATTTCTCCGCCCAACACATAATTCTTCTTAATTTACACCAAATTGTAAACCAATTTAATTTCTCAACTTAAAAATGACCTTTTTTTCATTATTATTTTCAACCTCTTTAATTTATTAATCTGAAATATCTTCTTTAATTTAATATATAATTTATAATATCCAAATAATGAAGGGAAAAAAAAAAGAATTAAATAAACAAAATAAAAGTTTTTCACCCAACTGGTTAATATTGCTGTTTCTAGGTGGGTCTATCATTTATTTTGAATATTTTATGTTTCCACCCATCAAGCCAACGTGGCAATCAATTCCGTTGATTTCTCCAATTTATGGTATTTTGGAATTGGAATAGACTTTTATTACCAAAAAAAAAATAATTAAAAAAAGGGTTAAAAATTAAGGGAAATGTCTCCAAAGTTCAGACATGTTTGGTCTATTTCTTTCGTAAGTTTTCTTTCGTTAGACAAAAGACTTGTTGGATGTTCTAATCTTAACGTATGCATAGTAGCACCCATCACCATCACGGACCTACGGTAGCTCATTAAATGCACAAAAAACATCACGCTTCTGTTTCTTAACTGTATCACTATTTTCACCTCCATTCCCATTATGCCCCTCCTCCTATGGGTACTCAATTTTCGTCCTAAAATTTCAATAAGGGTTACAAATTAAATAATAATTTGAAAATATAATATGCTTTTCACAATTAACACCTTCCACCAAATTTGATGTACGCTTTTTGAGTCAAAGTTGATGACTCGAGCAATCTGAATCAAGTTCACAACCCAATGTAACCTTCTATTTTTTTGGTTGGGTTGGGTTCTCGTGTTATTTTTAATTATTTTGAAAAGTTATACTTATCTACAAGCCACAATGCATCACTAATATTGATTACATACATCGAATATTCTTAATTTTCATAATAATCTTAAAAGTAGAGTAATGTTGAGTTAGGTTGTCACCCTTTCTTCTGGTTGGTTGAGTTGACCTAATCAATGAAATGTCAACCCGTGAACCCATATAGGTCGAGTGTTGGAGCATATACAAACGAATAAGTATGGGGAGAAAGAGAGGGGAAGGGAAGAGAAGGAAATGGGGAAGACAAGTTGATTTTAGGGCATCATGTAACCCACATGGTGTCCTTGTGAGTGAACACTCTCATTATTCCTCTTTCCCTCTTTGTTCCCTTATCTTAAACCCTTTCACTTTTTATTTCACTTTCTCCCCTTACATTCCTCTCTCTCTCCCTCTCTCTCTCTCTCTCTCTCTCTCTCTCCCTCCCCCTCCTAAAAACACATGCACATATATTTGTTGGGAGAGAAAGTGGGTTTTGTCCACCTAACATGCAACAGTTCCCATTGTATCTACAAACCAAGTTGTAGACCTTCCAAGGAATAAACAACTAAGAATTGGCCCGACCAACGTGAAAATCATCGTGGGTTGGCTTACTGGTGAACAAGAGTCAAACGATTGTCCTATGAGAGTAGTTTCGGTCGATTCTAACCTCCATTTAGCTAAACAGAAGCTTCACCCTAACTATAGATAGGTCACGTGGGTTCAGATCCATAAGCAGTGACAATTACCCGAATGAAGTGGCTCGCTAGTGGATTCTCTTAACCAAGCCACTGCATGTAAGCTGAGACGGGAAACTTTAGCGGTGAATTAATTGGAAAGGGAAATGCATGATTAGATGGGAGAAGGGAGCAATTATTATATAGTAAAATTGTCACAAAACGGGCACAATATGTCTCCCTGAGTACCAACTGATGGCTCTCAAAACACATGGCCGTTGTGTAGAAAACATTTATATAATGTTGGGAAGTAGTAGATGGAATAGAACTCGAAACATATTTTAGAAAAGAAATAGAAACAAAAGGTCACATCTCTTATTTAATGCATTTCCCATTATTCTCTACCACCTCTCACCTCGACACTTAGGGACGTCGGTCCCTCGAACTCGGTTTTATTTGATTAAATTATAAATTTAGTTTATACGTCTTTAAATTTTTAATTTTTGTTTTTAATAAATAAAATTAAATATTAATTCTATTAAGCTTATGGATGGTTAAACATCCCTAAACAGGGACTAAATTGTAATTTAACCCTTTTAAGAGAGAAAGACGGTCTGTTGGGCCTCTTGTCCCATTAATGGGTTAGTGGGGTTATGGGGCCTTTTCTTCCTTGATTGGACATCGGGATGGGCCTGATCCACTGTTTTGGGCCTTTGCTTCTAAAGGGTATGAGGAATGAGCCTGGCCCAATATAATCTTCTTGTATTTGTTCGTTAAAACTTTGGCATAGCCCTGATCCACTGGGCTTCTATGCAAATGGAAAGGAGAGTTTCGAAGCCGCGAAATGACCGGGAAATTATGGCGCCTTCGTCGCAGATCAAGCGGCGGAAAATCGATCATACGCCGTCCCGCCGGTAATTCTTGTTTCTCCTTGACGGCCACCGCCGTTGTGTAAATGGATAATCTCTTCTGTGTTCGCTTCAGTTTATTTTTCTCTGTCGTGAGTTGTTAGATGAAACACCAAGGATGTGAGGGTTTTAAATTTTGAAGATTCAGGTTACGACGAAGATGTTAGTTACTGCTGATGGTTTTGGTAGGCTACTGAGGAGACTGGATTGGACTTCTAGATGTTTCAGTTGTTGAGATTTCTCAGTTTAGTTGCTGTTAGATAAAGAAATGGAGTTTGTGTTGGATTTGGAGTATTGAATGAAATTATCGATTGGGAGAATTTAATTGTGTGTTGTTTTGTTATTTTCCTCTTGGATGATAATCTCAACTACTGGATTGGATTGCACCTTCGTAATTGATCTTTTCGACAATGAAATAAAAGATCAAAAGAACAGCGGACTTTAGTATTAGCTGCTTTAATAATTCTGAGTTGAATTCATTCGTAAAACCTCTCTATTGCAGAATTTTATCTTCAGTTGGTGTAGAGAGACAAGGAATTTCAGTCTCAACTAAAGGCTCGATTGTGAGAATTTTTATTTATTTGGTTTTGCTTTCTTAGTAAACTATCATACTTATTTATCAACCATTAGATTGCTTATGATGACTTTGAATTTGCACAGTGTCCTGTTGCTAGTGGAAGTGAATTTAGGATCCTACAGGATAAGAGTTCTGCTGTGGCAGAGGCCAAACAAGATTGTTGCACTGGTAATTTTAAAATCCTTGATTCCCCATTTGGAAATTTTCTTTTGCCTGTTATTCCTTCTCCCGCAGAATTGGTTGAGTAGTAGCTTCGAATCTGATACTGGTTCTACCTGATTTTTTAGCTGGTATGCTTTTGTGAGTGTTGAACTTTTTTGTATGATTGAGATATGATTACTGTATGAGACTTGTGTTCCAAACCTTATCCTATAGAAATGTTCTCTGTTAATATAAGTTTTTCCCGAGTGATTGGATATGGCCATTTGATAATAAAACTTAAAAAAGTTAAATGGAGATAAACTCTTTTTTGAAGCCCGAGTAATTTAGTCTCTATGCTTTAAAATTGTAACAATTTAGTTCCTATAGTGAAAAATATTATAAAGATTTAATATAATTTTTACCTCTATAGATTACAGAGCAATTTTTTATTGAAGTGTTACAAAATCTAGAGTTAAAAGGACTAAATTGTTTCATATTGAAATTTAGAGACCAAATTGTTATAAATAAAGGATCTATTGTTAGAAACTAAATTTAAGGATTGAAGGGCTAATTTTATGGTTTAGAGTTTAAAAAGTGTTTTTCAACCTTTCTGTGTGGTAGACTGTCAAATCATTTAATTCTGATCACTATGAATAGGCATATTCGTCCTACCCATCTCCATGTGTTTGGTTCTTGTGAATCTACCAATCTAGTATTGACAGGAAAAAGGGTGAACGAACTATTATGTTTTTTTTTTTTTTTAATTTTTCCATCTCAGAATCATTTGAGATGGAAAAGATTAGAGAGTTCGATGCCCAAACAAAGAAACGTGGCCATGTCTTGCTTAACAACTGTTTCTCCAAAAAGGAAAACTACTGTTATGAGAACATGTGTTGTATCAGGAATCTGATTTTTATTTGGATCTATATACTAAGGGAATAACAATCACCTAACTGAGGGGTTGCGTGGTGAAGTCCCCCATCTCTCGAAGGTCCTGAAGAGTTGGCCTTTTATAATTTTAGGAAACATTACCTCAATTATTAGGTATAGATATTATTATGCACGTGAATATCATATCAATCTAGGAACTAGCATTGCATTTGAAAATTTGAAATAAGCTAAAGTTTGTATTCTATGACTTTTCTGTGTCTCCTTCAAGCAATCTTACTTTTAATAGTACCTGGCTTTCTTAGGATAGATTAAATTACCTTCTTATAAGTGCAATACCTCATTCTACAAGATTTAGTGAATAAAACTATGTGGAACAAGCTGAGCTTCAAATAAGTTTTGATGGGAGAAGTGTGTTATTTTTTCTAATTTGGAGAAGATACATATTATGGACTAATTCATAGTCATTCACATAGTTATGGCTCTTCTACTAATTGGTTGAAAAAGGGAAAATACTTGACCAATGGATGAAGGAATATAGCCTATGGATGTGAAATGACGCAACTCATGAAAGAATCACAATCCACATATATAAAGGATGCTACACATGGAAGAATCATTTACCATTCATTCCAGCAATTCCCTACATAAAAGATTGGTTTATCTTTTGTGATAAGCCGTAAATAAAAATAAAAAAGCTTGCCCTTTTCCCAATGAAAAAATTGTATGAGGATAAGTAATAAAAATTTTGAACTTTGAAGATCAATCAAGTTTACTAGACTGTCAATCATTTTAGTTTTAGAAAACTAACTCTTTAACACTCACATAGGTGGTTCCTATGAAAAACATTGTATATGTTCTTTCATCTTAGCTTAATCACTTATAGAAATCTTTAAAAGCATAGAAAAACCACACTTGCACTATCTCGAAAATTTTAAAGGAAGTGCTCATTGAGACCGATCTGCCCTTTGAATTTAGATCTTAAGATCTTCTTACGCTCATAATTTTTTAGTTAGGCCTTTTGTAGGCGGATTTACAATTTTTT